CCTCTCATCTTTATAAAATGGGACTGTTACCTGTCATGAGGTTGCCACGAGGTCACACGTATAAAGTAACTAGTGTCGTTCCTGGTACACAGTAGCTGCTCAGCTAATGCTTGATTCCTTCCCAAAATGACTTTCATTGCAGCCAAACTGTAAGCTCCTTGTGGGAGACTGGAAAACAACTTAGCCTTTGACTATGAAATGTAAACCAGTGCTGACACTCTCTCTTTCCCTTCCTTCCCCTGACATTTCTGTGAAGCATCAGCACCGCTCACTCCTACACTTCTTCAAGTCTCTGCTCAAAAACCACTTTTTTCAGAGAAGCTTGTCCTGAATACCTCATATGTGAAGCAGCGCTCTTCCGCTCAGTCCCGTCTTCCCTGCTCTGAGGCTCACTGGAGCGCACCTCCCCCTCCCCCTCACGTACAGTTGCTGCTGATGTGTGTACTCCTCCCAACCCAGTAGAAAATAAGCTCCCCGAGACCCCTGGTTGCTCTGTCCTCTAATTTCCAGCTAAGTATGTTAATGGATGAATGAATGGACTTTGCGAGCATCCACAATGCTTTGCTCTTTGGGAGTAGCGCAGAAATGAAATCCACTTGCATGATGACGGGGAGAGAGAGACACGGGTAATCGAATGCCTTGTGGGCTGTTTTCTCACCCAAGCCTCCGCCGTTCTGTGTGCTCCCCTGGGCACACAGACCCTCACTCTGCCCTTTCCCTCACCAAGACTTCATCCCAGCAAGGCTGTCTGCTCTGCTTAATAAAACCTTCATGCTATTTTAAAGACCTGCTCAAATACCACCTCTTCTGTAGGATCCTTCCAGAAAACAATCTCTGTGTCCTCCATTCCTCCACTGGACTTCTTCTTCTGTTATCATATTTATGACCACACAGTTCATATTGGAATTCCTCACTCATGGGCGTGACCCCCCGCCCCAACCCCCACTGTTATGTTTTGCTCTTGGAACAGCAGAATCTAATGTCAGCCGGGATGGGTGAGGGTTGGGTATGTAGTGAAAAGTCTACAGGCTTTATAATGAGGTATACGCGGGTTAGGATTTTGAATATGTGAATGTGGACAACAGGGAGTTAACAATGACAATGAGAATAGACCAAAATAGAGTGGGGGACAGGTAAGGAAATAGGGTCTATGTGTGGCCTCTTCTCTGAAACTGTTCTTAGAAAAACATTGAACTTTGCATTTGGCCAAACCATAAACATCCTGGACAAACATCTGCTACCTCTTACAAAGTAGCCGTTCGCTGAGGAAACAGCCTTGGCCACCAGTTATGTAGAGTTAAATGCAGGCTACAGTAGCTTTAGGCAAAAGCAATTCTTTCAAAACAACTCATGGTAGCCCTCTTTTTGCTTTTGAAACTCCTAAGTGGTCATGCATTTGGAGCATGCATTTGAATTTCCTGCCAAATCTATGTTCCCACATTGTAATCTCTAGAACCCCAAATAAAGGCAACCAATTGTTTTATAGCTTTGCCTTTTTTTTTTGGCTGACACCAAATCTTGCAAACACCTATGAGTTGTAATCTTAGGACAGTTGTTCACTGTCTTAAGTCCCAAGGGATTCACTGTTAAATGGGATAGCTGGACCCACCTCGTGGAAGAAACCTTTATTAACACCTAGTCTGTACTGGGCACTTTGGCTAGTACCAAGAGAACAGACCTTTTTAGATCCAAGCACACAGTAGGTGCTCAATAAATGTCAGTCATATGACCCTTATATTACCTCAAGTCTCTAGTATGGTTGGTGCAGAAATGGGCTTGTTTACAGGATAGGATTCATAGCATCTGTCATGACTTGACAACATTTAAGTAACATATGTACTATACTAGTTCTTTTTCTTGCCCAAGAAAATATCCCTTTCTATTAAAATGCACCTTATAGAAGCTTTCATTTTCATTTTTAGTGCTCTGTGGATTCTGGTGCTTTTCTCAGGCGACAGAGATATATTCAGACTTCTTCCTTGAAATAACATCTTTCTTTGCTGAAATGTAGATTGTATCACAGGCCCCAATAACAAAGTCACCACGTCTTCCTTCTGCCCTGCCGCGACGGTGTGGCAGAATGAAAACCAGGAGCTGGAAGATGAGACTAGCGCAGTCGGCCTCTCAGGTCATGATCTTGTAAACAGCTGGATTAGAGCAGGGTTTCCCTTTTGCACCATTGACATTTTTGGGTCCAATACAACTTGTCGTGGAGGTTCATCCTGTGCCCTGTAGGATGTTTGGCAGCGTCCCTGACATCTAACCACTAGGGACTGGCAGCAGCCCCTCAGTCGTGACAATGATGTCCTTTGGGGTGCAAAATGGCTGTTGCTTGGGAAGTGCTGGATTAAATTTTTCAAATGTCAGCTGATTCTAGGACTGTAGGCTGATGTCTCACTCTTACACACACAGACACACACATACGCTGCCATTCCACGTATAGCTCTGCTCCACTTTCGAGAACTGCAGTGTTCTGAGCTCTGTTTCTTTGCAGACAGTCGAACAGCCAAGCCGCTTATTATAAGCCCCCACCCCACGCCCACTCACCACCGCCATGAAGGAGGGCTTTATGGGTGACACGCTGGGATTTAAGTGTGCTGTGGCTCCCCGGGGATCTCTAAACAAATGCCTCCACCTCCTGCTTGCCACTCAGGTGGGCTCCGGCAGACAGTTTTGGCAGCTGTACCTGTTATATTTCTGTGATCCACATGCATGGCTTTGTTTTAGGTTCTGAACGGAACTTCGGTCCACAGCTTCTGCCAACCCACTCCCCTGCTCATGTTACTCTCTCCTTTAACCCCTGACAGCGGGGGCTTGTAGTGCCAAGCAGATTCTCGTGACTACTCATAATAAAGTGGTGCAAGGGAGCCACAAGAGGGAAATACCCACACGGGTAGGAAGTTTACATCTCTCTTTTGGATTTTCACTTTGGCTTTTCTGTCATCCCATTTTCAGCTGGAAGAGTAGACAGATGGAAGGTACCATATTTGTTCTTGTTTATACATGGTTTTACACTTGTGGCTCTGGGAGGAAGGCAGTTCCCCACCTGTGGCAAGTTCCCGATGAATCTCGTGAAACCAAAGGCAGACGAGGGTGAGAGATTGGGGAAAGGGTCTTTGATTGCTCACGGCCCAGTCTGTCACGGCGCGCTCAGGAGTCCTCCCTCTCCAGCCTCTGCGGCTCTCCCCATCGGCTCGCTTGGCTCCACTCCCCAGGGGAGGAGCTCTGTTGGCAGGTCCCTAGTGACTGGTGGGCACCTGACCAATCACATACCATAATGGAGGGGAGGAGAGAATGGCCTTTAGGCTCCACCCCTTACCCCCACATCTCACTTGGGCTCTGCTGTAGTAAACATCCTGTTGTTTATGCAAATAGACCCTTATATGCATATCACTATCAAGGCCAGGTGAGATTCTGGTGGAAGACTAACATCCACCCAAAATACTTGTCAAAATGTTTGTGTCCTCACCATTGTAAATAGTAGACATAAAAATCTGAGATCAAGAGAGGATGTAACTATCCAGAGTCACACAGCTACACATTTCCAGCCAGGTGTAGAAACGGTCTTTCAAAGGTTCTTGCCCGTTAAAGGCTCACTGCCCAGTGAGCAAAGCAGATACACGAACAAATAAGTACAATAAAGGATAAATAACATACAGTTGTGTAAAGTGAGCAACCAGAGTGAAGAAAGGAACAACTAATGCTTTGAGAGGAGCAGGAAAAGGAAATGACCTTTGAGGACCTGATCTCAGCTGGCTACTGAAGCATAAATAGGGCTTGTGGAGGGCAGTGGAGGCAATCTGAGTACAGATTATCCCAGCAGGAAATAGCAGACATGATCAGTATCAACGTTCATCATGATCTTTATCCTCACCATCATTGATGCCATTTAACGAGCACTTACAAAATGCCAGGCACTGGGTGGGACACTTTACATAAATGAGGTCATTTTGTTCTCACACTGGGTGCTATTGTTAAGCATATTTTACAGAGGAGGAAACTGAGATCCAGAGAAGTTAAATGACTTGCCTGAAATGATTCTGTCTATAACAGAGGGACCCCGGATTAAAAGCTACCTCTCCATATAGAGCAAGGTGAACTTTTCTAGAATAAGTAGGGTGGGGAACAGACAGAAATCTGTTCAGCTAGTACATAGAATAATGATGGGATGATAAAAACATTACTTGTAAATTTCCCAAAAGCTTCTTGTGGCCTCTCTTCTTTCCTGCCATAAAAACCTCTACCTGAGTTTTCCCATAGTCTTAAGCATTTCTTCAACATTGCACCACCATGCCATACTGCCACCTCCCAAAAAAGAGATGGGCAAGACCCCTTCAATCCCTTGGCCATTAGTTTCCCTTCTGAACCCCAGGGGACCTTGAGGCTCAGAGTCATCAATAGGGGAATTCTCTGGCTGTGTTTCCTTGGGGTGAAAGAGACATTCCACCGAGAGTTGGAGAAGTGGATTCTTAATGAGCTCCACTGGCTCATCATCTGTAAGGCATCAGCCCCGATCATCATACTCATTCCATCCTAAGACTTTGTGCATTTATCTGATTATACCGAAGCAAAGTGTGCGCTCCAGCAGGTATGTCTATGTGAGAGGAGAGGAAATAACTTCCCACTTATTGAGTACCTGAAATGAGAGGCAGATTGTTTTTGAAGATACTAGCTCATCGTCTGCTTTACACATGAGGAAACTGCATCCCTAAGAGGCTAACAAGTTTGTACCTGTTCACAAAACGTGAACAGCAAAGCAGGAATATGAGGCCAAATCTCCATAGATGATCTCCATCTATAACAACTCCAGAAACTGTACTGGTTTTTGCAAACCTTAAGACACTCTGCTGATGGAAATAATATGATGAATGTATGTTAACAGCATTTTTTCTTTTCCTTTGTCTTTTTCTCTTCCTTTTCTTTTGTTTAATTTTTCCCCTTTTTCTCTCTCCCACCATTGCTTTCTCCTTTCTTCCATTCTCTTTAAAATTCCTTCTCAGGACTCCACAGAATGGAGCAAGAATGAGAGGAAAAAGGCCGGCAGAAAAGCATGAACTGGAGATTTGTTGAGCTCCTCTACTTCCTGTTTGTATGGGGCCGTATCTCAGTGCAGCCCTCCCACCAGGAACCGGCTGGGACAGACCAACATGTCTCCAAGGAATTTGATTGGCTTATCTCAGACAGGGGGCCTTTCCACCACTCCAGGAGCTACCTATCCTTTGTGGAAAGACACCGGCAAGGATTTACAACCAGATATAAAATATACAGGTAAGATCTGGGCTAAGCTAGTTCTTGCCTTCCTTGTCTTGCCTACGTAGAGTGCTTTCTGGGCTCAGGCATGGGTATGGGCCTTGTACGGAAAAGCGTCTGGGCCAAGGGATTCATGGCATTTCAGCAGGCGGTTATTCACATTGCCACCCTTTCCTTTTTTGTACTTTGCATGAGAGATTAACAATGACAAGGAAAAGAACAAATAGCTAATATTTACTGAGTGTTTACTATTATGCTGGGTGTGGTGCTGAATACTTCATTTACACTATCTCATTTAAACCTTATAATAACCGTTGGGGGTAGATTCTATTTGTTCTCTCCACTTTACAGTTGATGTAGCTGATCTTGGGCAGGTGAAATTGCTTGCCTACAGTCACACAGTCAGTAAGTGATAGGAGAGGGGATTCCAACCCTGGATTATCTGTGTCCACAGTCACATAATTTTCAGTGAACCACATCAGGTGTACATAGAGTTGTTTTGTTAAGGCTATGAACACACCCAGTATCCTACCCCAAAATATTCACACACTTAGAAACAAGTAGGGACACTTAATGAACAACCTCTTTTTTTGAGCAGGTCCAAACTGGGTCTTGTCCTGTTGGAATCCTAGTCATCCAAAAAGGACTTGACCCAAAGTTCTTTCCTCGTTGCAAACATCTTAGATTTTCCCATTCTACTCATTTACCCTGTCTTTGATATTTCTACAGCTCTCTATACTTATACCTCTTAGGTTTTGAACCATTTGGAATTAGAATGCATTCTTGTGTTTCTTTCTCACCTCACTGGAAATTCTTTGAAGGTCAGACTTACATATAATTCATTTCTGGGTCCCTTGAGTGAGTTTTGTTCTGCCTTACATCATGAACACATATTATGTGTTGTGGACTTAGATGAGTTGGGGAATGCAGCACACGGTCTAGAGGTATAGCCTTTGTCTTAAGGTCAAGAAGGTGGCCAAACACTAACACTTCTGGGCCAATTATAATAGGAGAGCTGGGAAACTTGGTATTGGAAGAAAACCCTGACCTTCAGATGGGAAGGCAGAGATTCAGGTCTTAAGTTTTCTATGTATTTGATGTAAAATGTGCATGTCTCCTTTGAACATTTTGTGGCATTGTGGACAAGGATGAATGATTCATGAAATCTCTACCAGCTGCAAAGACCTGTGATTCTATTCTGAATATTCAAATCCTATTTTGAAAGCTGACCCACTAAGTGTTTGAGGTCTCACTTTCTGGGAGCCTAGGAGTGTGGCAAATAATCAGAGAGTAACTGGGGAAAGGTGCTCTGGGCATGATGAAAAGCAGAAACACAAAGGACAATGACTATGGGGTGAGGAAGAAAAGGAGAAAGAGCACAAGAATGAGAAATAAGGGGTATTTTTTCTTTCCAAAGAGAAGAATATCAGAGTTTCAAAAATTGATAATAATATTTTATGTTAAATATTAATAATAATTATTGAGTCAAAGAGCTACCCCTTGGGAGAATACCCAAGAATAATAGTTATCTACTTAATTTCAAATTTGTATCTTTAAGATAGTTTCTGGCAGAATATAGCCATTGCTATTTGTGAACATGTACAAACCAAATATGGGTACTCATAGATTATTCAACAGAGCATGCCAAGAACTAAAATCCCTGATACTGAGAAACATGCAGGCTTGAGATACAGGATTTAGGGGAACAGAAGAAGTAGTGAAGATCCAAATGTCTTACTCTGTGTTTAGTCAGGCAACAATAAATTCTTGGTTTTACATGTGGCTTTATCTTGCATTTGAGCCTCCTGAGGACACTTTAAAGTTGGATGAAATGGGGTTCATATTTCCATTTTAAAGACCAGGAGATGAGTGACTTGAATTAAGTTATGTAGTCAAAAAAAGATAGAGTCTGGACTGGAAACAAAGTCTGATTATAAGCCCACAGCCACACTAATGAATATCATAGAAGTAACAACATCCATTCATTGTTTACAAATGTTTCTTAGCAACTGTTGCATTTCTGACCCTGCACTAGACAACCGAGGATCAGTTGGCCTGAAGATAAGAAATTATGATATAACAAATGGTGGCTATAATTGGGTTTTATAAGGGAGCTATTGGCATTTTAGATGATGAGCATATGTGTGTGATTGCTGTTGAAGTAACCTACACTAAAATGGATATCCTGAGTGGAACCACAGATCTAGAATATTCTACAGTAGCAACCTTTAATCGAGCATTTATAATGTGCCATGAAGTGGGGGCGGGGGTGTCATTAAATTCTCACAGCATCCTGGTGAGGTGAGCAATTCCTTGGCATTTTACAGATGGGAAACCCAAGGTTTGGGGAGGATTGAGTGCGCTGCCCTCGCTCGTCTGTCTGGTGAGGAATGGAGCTCAGGTTCAGACACTATCTACCAGACCCTGAAGTCCTCCCTTCAACCACTATGCTGCACGGTTTCCCCAGTGTGGTGCCCAAATGTAGGGTGTTGCAGAGCTCTGAAGGGCTCTTCCAAACATTTTCCTCACAACCACTTGGCAAATGTTTTGGGGGTGGCCTTAGAGATGCTGAGAAGGGCAAGATTGCTAGTCATGTCGGGGGGCAAGACATCTGGATACTAACTCCATCTCTAGTGTGGGAAGACAGTCAAGGGGGTGGGCATCAGGCAGGATTCCCAGCCTTACCCAGCTCTTGTACAAGAGAAGGTGTATTTCTTCTGCTTTTGTGTTCAGATTTCATGTATGCTTTGCTTTGAATTCCACTGCTAAGACAGTTTGCAGTCATCCACAAGCTCATTTCCAAGACCCATTCGAGCTCTAAAATGAAGTATAAGATTTAACCAAAGTCACACGGTTAATTAAATGTTGGAGTTCAACCCAGAAATCAGGCCCCTGGTCATTAGTTATTCCTTCCTTCCTTCATTTAATCCTCCAGTAATTATTAAGCACCTGCTACAGTTCCAGCCCTCTGTTTGGGGAAGATGATACAATGATGAATAAAACAAACATGGTTCCTGCTCTCATAGGAGAGACTGATGTTAATTAAACATATGTGTATGTGCACACACACATGTAATTGTTAAAAAGAAAAAAGTCTTTCCTATGAGAGCAGGGACCATGTTTGTTTTATTCATCACTGGGAGATCATTGATACCATAAACATTGATTTGGAACCTATTATGTACAAAGATTAGGTTATCTGCACATGGACACATATGCAGATAGACACCCAGAGACATGTGTGTGCACCCAGGCCAGATTCAGGCCACAGCAAAAGCCAACCAGGACATGTTCATCCTGACAGTTGTCAACTGACATTTTCTTTTTACATGTTGCACATGCAAACAGTAAACATGTTGAACCACTAAAGCATATCCACTGATAATTTCCTGTGTGACTTCCTGTGTGCTAACATAGACCTAGCACATTAAAAACTGGGCATTTGCATCATGAATGAAAGGCTTTACTACAGGATTGTGCCGTATTATCTTATGCTAGAGAGCCGGCCTATTTGAAATGTCCTAGATCTTAAACTTTGACCTCCCCCCACACCCCCTGACTCCCTTCCCTGTATCCAGGCAGAACCCAGGGTGATCTGGGAGCTTTAGAAAGAAACTAAGAGGAAGTCTCCTCTCCTCACTTCAGTAGGTTAAGGCCATCTCCTTCTTCGTGCATATGCACAGAGGCTGGTTTCAGCTCATAGAACATGGTGGGGGGTCATTGCCACTGGCAACAATGAGAACCTTTCAAATGAAATCCCAGCGGAAGCCTTCTCTCATGTTGCTTCACAAGACAAGCAATAATGTGTGCACAAGCAGTAGTCTGTGGGCACGAGGCCCACACTGACACTCACAAGTCTAAGCTGACTCTCAGAAGCCGAGGGAGTTTTCTGTTTGAATCTGCCATGGTGCAGCAGCCACAGCATTGATCTTGAAGCCAAGGTGCCTGAGGGCTGGCCCAGCTTGCCTAACTCCTTGATGCGTGGTTTTGACCAATTAATGACACTTCTTCCAGCTTCTGCTTCCTCAACTGTAAAATGGGAGTGTTAGTAATGTGGTCTCCAAGGTCTTTATCTTTTCTGAAATTCTGTGATTCCACAAAATACTGTCATTTGAAAATATAGCATGGGGCAGCAGAGAGGACTCTGGACTTGGAGTCTAGAGACTCAGATTCTGTTTATTTTGGAGCCACTTTCCAGCTTTCTCATCTGGGGCAAATTCTTCCATGCATCATTCATTCATTCACGCATCCATTCATGTAGAATTGAACACCAGTCATATGCTATAAGCTGTGCTATGATTTGGTGATACAGACCTGACAAAGAGAAAAATTGATAAAATGAACCTTCCCCCTTCCCCCCTACACACACAAGCCAGTGTCTACCCCCTCTTCCACAAAGTTCAGGGTTGGGGGTGGAGGGTAGAGAAAAACAAGAGTCAGGAGTGAACAGTGAACATTCTTTGGATAGGAATGAATAAATAACTGCTCAGATACTCAATTTTCTCTTCCACAGAAAGGGATAATGATGTCTGCTTCCTTACTAGGTCAAATAAGAGACAGTTGGCATGACAATGCTTTGTAAAATTTTAATTTTCTTATATCTGGAATCCACATTTTTTGCCACCAAGGTTCTAAATCATTATTTTAACACTATGATTGATGTTTCACTTTCTGTTAAGCCCATACATATATTAATAATTAAATCTGTGAGGGAAATACTATTATTGCCTATATTATGAATGAGAAAACTAAGGTACCAGGAGACTAAGCACATTGTCCATGTCACATATCTAGAAAGTTTGCAGTGCGAGGAACTCAAAGCAGGCCTCTTACACTCTGCGCATGAGCCCTTAACTCTATGCTGTCATGCCTCTTTCCAGTTTTTAGTTACCTGATTTATTACCAAATAATGAGAGATTTCCTCTGACCACAGGCAAGTTGCAACCTTGTGTGGCTGTGGTGAAAAATAACACAGGTATTGAACATCTAGTGTGTAGAATTTTACAGGAGTTGCATAC